CACCTTTTCCCCCCAAATAAGCCCCCCAAAATAGATTTTGCTGATTTGTCTTTGTTGAAATAGAAGCAAGAATAGACGCCACAGCAAGATGGCTGCCAGGTTCCTCTCTCTGCTACCTTTAGGGTGGGAGGGTGAGGAGTCCACCCTTCAGTCAGAACTAATATTAACCTTCTCATAGCCACAACCATTGCAGTCAGGATCCTCTGCAGTCAGCATTCAGCTATTACAGGAACAATTTTTTTTCATTCCGCTTTCCCCAAACAAGGCATACACCTTACTTTGGGCATGTGGTATACTAGAAAATATGATCATTCTGTTTATGGGAGCTGTTCTATGGTTACTAGGTAATGCTGTCATCTCCCCTGAGAGAACAGAAGTGATCCTGTTCAACATGCAATTATTCCATCCCCAGCACAGGGCCTTGCATTTGTCCTTGTTGAATTTAGTTTGACTGATTGCATACCTTTTATCCAGCTTTTCCAAGTAATTTGGAATCTTGGCCCTACCCTCCAGAGTGTCTGTAGCTCCATCCAACTTGATATTATCCCCAAATTTCCTCAGCCTCGACTCAGCCCCATTGTCCAAATCAGGGCTGTCCAACTTCAAACCAGCCGTGGACCACATGCCCCATGGGCACCCCACCCCCAGGCTCATGTACAGGGGAAGGTGTTCCCCCTCCTTATTCTCCCACTCTGCACTGCACACACAGACATGATATAGCCACACCCAGACAATAGTTCACAATAGTGATTTGGCAGTTATCTGCCCGAGCAGGAACAGAGTGACAGCATCTGGTTCAAGCCTGAAAAAGAATAGGAAAACAAAGCTAATTCAATGAACTCTGAATGGAACAGCAAGCCTTACTTACATGAATGTTTAAAAACAGCATACCACTAATCCATTCATTTGCAGCTCACTGTCTGGCTTTTAGAATGCTATTATGGTACTTCCACTTCTAACGGTATCACTCTAGGAAAGCCCATCAGATAAGAGAAGTTTTGAGGTTAACATCGTAAGAAAGCTGAATGAATTGATGTTTTTATTCAAAATAGCAGATTTTTGACAGAGTTAATAAAAACTGTTCATCAAAAAAATAAGTCAGGGTTTTCAATTCAGTCATTTTCTGTTATTGAATATTGTTCTTGCAAGTCTGCTTAAAAATCTGAGTTAGATACAAAATACTGTTGAGCCCTAAACATTAATTTTAACATTTAAATAAAAATAATTAAATGAATCCATGACCCATGGTAATTCAGCATAAATAAAGAAGGAGGAGAAGCGAGAGAACATTTTTTTGTTTTAAAAAAGTTTGGAAGACATCTAAGTAACTTAGCAGATGGTCTCATTTTCAAGGAGTTTGCTTAAAAAAATTCTAGTCGTGTTATATGAAAAAGTTCCCAGGCAAGCCTGAAATCAGATTAGTTTGACTATAGTTAATTTCTCTGTTCAGCAAATCATTTAATTTTAAGTGGCTTAAGACAGGGTGCCCAACTAGCAGCAAGGTTTCATAAGTGGCACAAGGAGCCTCTGTGTTGCATGCAGCACATTGAAGGGGACAGGCAGAACAGTGGCAGATAAGGCAGGAAGCAGAAAGCAGAGCAGCAGATGGCGCAGGGAGCATGTGGCAGGAAGAAAAAGAGTAGTAGTCAGGTAGGGGAAGGGAGTTGGAGTGGCACTCAGAATGAATGGGACTAAGTTGTGGCATGCCTGCCAAAAGGTTCCCCCCTGTTTTAAGAGATGTTTATGAATCACATGTTTAAAGTAACTGTATAAACTTTGGGGGTAATTAAACTCCAGTTACCATCTTAATGCAACTGCTTGACAAATCATGCGGAAAGCGAATTATGTAGTAAATTCTAAAGCCCAAGACTACACTGGTTCACTGTCAGCCAGGTTTCAACTTGTGAATGCACGGGCTTTGATGAAGTCATCCAAAATCACCTTAAAAGTGCAAGTGCAGCCTTTGGATGCCTGAGAAAATAGGTATTCAAAGACTGCAACATCAGATCCAAAACAAAGATCATGGTTTAATCAAGCAGTCTTGAATCCCTCCTTACTGTATAGAGCAGAGGCATGGACAACGTATAGGCAACACCTGAAGTCACTGGAGAAGTACCATCAATGCTGCCTGTGGAAGATCCTTCAAATATAGTGGGAAGACAGACGCACCAATATTAGCATCCTCTCGCAAACACCACAAGAACTAAGGCAACAATCATCTGACATCAACTTTGCTGGACTGGCCATGCCACCTGCACATTCAATGCCAGACCCCCAAAGCAAGTTTTATTCTCCCACCTCAATCAAGGCATACACTCATCTGGAGGGCAGAGGAAGCACTTCCAGGATGTCAAGGCCAACTTGGAAAAAATGCAACATCGACATCAAAATCATAGGATACTACCACCTAGGACCACCCCAAAAAAAGTGAAGAAAGAGTGTTACTGCAAGGATCTCAGTACTTTGAAACCTTACAACGAGAACAGGAGACAGAAAAGCAGGAACAGCGCGTCATGGACCAAACCAAGAACCCAGAGCCACCCACCCCATATGGAAACGTGCCCAAGTTGCAACAGTCTGTCAATCCCAGATCAGCCTTATCTTTGGACCCACAAAGCAAAACATGGAAGATAATCATCCTCAACTGTGAGGAATTGCCAATGATGCAGGGGGAGCCTGCAATCATGATTCCAACTTTCCCCTGCACTGGGAAGCAGGCAACTATGACTGGGATTCAATCCCCAATCCCAAAATAGTGCATCCTGCTATGCACGGGTGGAATGGCAAGAGGTACTATTGCTAGGATGAGGGAACAGATCCTATGGCACCATTAAAGTAACGTGTGGCAGGTTGCATAAGACCCATGTGCTCAAGCCCAGGTCAATGTGGTTAGGGGACTAAATGCTGTTGGGGAGCTGGGCCTGAAGTCCTTCAGGCAAGGTCAACTTCCAGACTACTGCACCTGGCAGCACAGCCTAGGGAGGGGGTGAGCAGCTTACAGTAGCAAAGGAACAAGTTAGGGACTATTTAGAAAAGCTGGACATGTACAAGTCCATGGCATCAGACACAATGCACCCAAGGGTGCTGAAGTTGGTTGATGCAATTGCAGAGCCACTGGCCATCTCTGAAAACTCATGGTGATCAGGAGAGGTCCCAGACAATTGGAAAAAAGGCAAAATATAAATGTCCATCTTTAAGAAAAGGGAAGAAGTAGGATCTAGGGAACTACAGATGGGTCAGCCTCACCTCAGTCCCCAGAAAAATAATGGAGCAGGTCCTCAAGGAATCCACTTCTAAGCACTTGAAGGAGAAAGTGATTAGGAACAGTCAGCACGGATTCACCAAGGGCAAGTCATGCCTGACCTACCTGATCACCTTCTAGGAAGAGATGATTGGCTCTGTGGATATGGAGAGAGCAGTGGACGTGATATACCATGACTTTAGCAAGACTTTTGATGTGTTCTCCCACATTTTCGCAAGCAGGCTAAGGAAGTACAGGTTGGATGGATGGATGGACTGTAAGGTGGACAGAAAGCTGGCTGGATCATCGAGCTCAGAGAGTAGTAGTCAGTGGTTTGATGTCTAGTTAGCAGCCAGTGTCAAGTGGAGTGCCTCAGGGGTCAGTCTTGGGGCCAGTTTTGTTCAAAATCTTCAGTGACCTGGAAAATGGCATAGAGTGCACCCTCAGCAAGCATGCAGATGACATCAAGCTGGGGGGAGTAGTGGTTCTGCTGGAGGGTAGGGATAGGAATCTGATAGACCTCAACAAAATGGAGGACTGAACCAAAAGAAAACACGAGGTTCAAAATAAAGACAAAGTGCAAAGTCCTGTATTTAGGATGGAAGAAAACCCATGCACCAATACAAGCTGGGGACTGACTGGCTAAACAGCAGTTCTGCAGAACAGGACCTGGGGGTTACAGTGGACAATAAGCTGAATATAAACCAACAGTGTGCTCTTGTGAAGAAGGCTAACAGCATACTGGGCTGCATTAGTAGGAGCACTGCCAGCAGATCAAGTGAAGTGATTCTTCCCCTCTATTCAGTATTGGTGAGGCCACATCTGGAATCCCGTGTCCAGTTTCAGGCCCCCCACTACAGAAAGGATGTAGACATATTGGCGAGTCCAGCAGAAGGCAATGAAAAAGTTTAGGGGGCGGGGGCACGTGACTTGGAGAGGCTGAGGGAAATGGACTGAGATTTAATAGCAGCCTTCAACTACCTGAAGGGGGTTTCCCAAGGGGATGGAGCTGGACCGTTCTCAGTGATGACAGATGACAGGACAAGGAGTAATGGTTGTAAGTTACAGCAAGGGAAGTTTAGGCTAGATATTAGGAAAAACTCACTCACTGGGAGGGTAGTAAAACACTGGAACAGGTTACCCAGATCGGTGGTGGACTCTCCATCCTTGGAGGTTTTTAAGACCTGGCTTGACAAAGCTTGGGCTGGGATGATCTAGTTGGGGCTGGTCCTGCTTTGAGCATGGGGTTGGACTAGATGTGACCTCCTGAGGTCCCTTCCAACCCTAATTATTTGTGGTTCTCTAAGACAATAAAATTCTTGTCTATACCACATATTGTGTTAATAAAATTGCATGGTTATGAAACTTTGGAAAATGCCTCTTGAAGCATAACGAAATGCAAACTTATTTAAGTTTTTTAGATACCTAAACAGAAGATCATCCAAGTCATTTCAGTGCCCAGTGTCTTTGATGACATGAGCTTTTGTTCACACTACAGAACAATCTACTTAACTAAATAGTTATATAAAATGTCTGCAGTTTTGCTTCATCTCAAACTGTGTTTTGACTCGCAGTAGTTTGACTTCCTTACCTACACAACAAACTGTTTTCTTTCCCTTTAATGAACTGTGTATGTGGCTAAGAGAAGGTGCAGGAGTACAGCAAACAACATACCCTTTTTGGAACAGTATGACAGGGGGCTAAGATTAGAAGAGATGATTGGTATTTATTCTAAATGAACTGCACACACAAAAGGACATTAAAACTAGTAGTAAAGATTTTAAGTCAAGTACTCAAGTTTGTAAACCCAAATATTAAGGTTAAATCGCATTATCACACATTCTATTCTACTGGAGTTCTGATTCAGTTGGTACCCAGAAAGGACAGTACTCAGGAAGCCAATCAGGGTTGAACATTAAAAAGGCAGATGTTAGTAGGATGCCCTTCCCCATTTGAATGCAAAGCTTATAGTAAATAAGATGGGAGAAACTGCAAGCATGGCTTCGTATATAAAAGCAACTGACTGCCACCCTGGAGAACTGTAGTAATCCCTGGCTCCCTGCCATGCAATTCCCCATGTGGTAGTGGGCAATTGATCACTCATTTTCCACAGGTAACTATTACCTGTGTTCTTTCACTTGAATGCACAACCCAAGACTAGAGTCTGATTTGCCACATGCTGCACAGATCTCTTTTCAAAGAACAGCACCCATTGCCTTCAAGCAGTGCCCATGTCCATTAAAAAAAAATCAAATCCAAATGAGGTGCAAATTGAGGACCTCGAGTTAGCTTCTACATGGACTTCAATGAATCTGTTGCGAAGATTGTCATCCACAGAAGGGGGACATCACTTTATCCAAGAACATGACTGAAGAACAATTAATGGTTTGTGAAACACTCCTTTGCTAAGGTGATGAGGACTCTCTTAAAGAAGCTAGCTTTGTAGTGAGAGAGAGGTGCGAATGATTTGCAGTAAACAGGGCATGGGAACAAACTGAATGAGGATAAAACAAAACAGAGAAGAATTAACTCTTTAGCATGTTGCCCCTCTGCACTGAATAAGGCAGAGTTTAATATTTTTTTAAAAAGTGTGATCATATAACTCTAGAATTACCCTAACGCACAAACACAAGGACACCATTAAAATTATACAGACCACCTTAGTTTTGGCATTTCCTAACTTATGGGTACTTGACTTTGAAACTTTAGCATTCTTTTGAAGGATGTGCATGTGCACATGTCATTTCTTAAGTTCCTAAATTCTGGCAAATTTCAGCAACTCAAAAAAATCAGGCCTTCTTGGAAACATTGTCAGGTAGCAATAAAAATATAGGCACTACCACCAGTCCTACCTTTAAGTTTATAAGCTCTAGCCCCTTCCACTGAAATCAAACATGACCACCTACCATGATTAGGCAATTCACACAGAGCATTTCTAAGGCAGTGATATAAATACAGAAATCCAGGGCTTTTTAATAATTTAATTATTAACTACTATTCTGAACTTTTAGGAGAGACAGAGGCACAAAATAGACAGCTTCTATTAGAAAATAAATGCATGCTCCTCCATGGTACTACAGCCTTCAGTCATGATGCTTAATGTCCACAACATGAATACTTTTTAGTATGTCAAAACTAATTACAAATGACAATTACACCAATGGCACTCAACCTCTGCCATGTGGAGCTCCCCACAGATCAGGACATTTGGCAGTGGGGGAGCAGTGGCAGGTAATATCAACACCCATCCGCACTGCCAAAATCCCAAGCCCTGCTCAGTGGGTTGCAGACAGGCCACAACCCTTGCTCTACACAGCCACACCATAGCACCTTCCCACTGGAGCCAGCCCATATCCCCTTCTCCTCCCCCACCCCTCCATGGGTCTGGACCATGCCACTTTCCCTCTGCACAGCCAAGTCTGGGCCAAGCCACATCCCACCCCTCACCACTTGGCCAAGCCCACCCCCACGCTCCTTCCCCCTCCACAAGGCTGCGACATGTCCCCTTCCTCCTGTGGGGTTGAGCCATGCCCCCTCCCCGATTAAGGCTGGATTTGCACCCCCACACACACACACCCCCTAGGTTGTTGCTGGGCCATACCCCCTTCCCTGGCATGGCTGGATTAGGACCAAGCTGCTCCCTACCCCACTCTGCACAGCTAGAAGGGGCTCCCCACTGCACCTGCCCCAGGTACAGGATTGGATCCACTGCCAGATTCAGCCCATGAAAGAACTCATCATTACCCATCCGGCCTGCCAGACAAAAAGGTTAAGCACCACTGAATTAGACAACTCAAGAGCAGACATTCATAATGTTTGCTTAAAAACACTGATTACCAGGATTTCCCACTGCATGACCAGTACCTGCAGAGACAAAACCATTACTACTTTCTTCTCTTGCTGCTTCTATCTTGGGAATACTGCTCTAACCACACTGCGATAACCGTCTGCAATAACTAATTGGTACGAAGGTGACAAACTGCAAGAAAGCAATAAAGCTAATGCAACTGCATCATCCCAAACTCTGATCCTCTCCCCCACCCGAATTATAAAACTTAAGGAAATGTTCATGTTAACCAAGTATTATAAACCTGACACAGAGGCACAGCAGAATGTAAATGAGTTAATTCTCAAAAGCTGAAGCAAAAGCCAACTGCTTATGCCTAAACTTGAAGACTCCTCAAAAAGCTCTGCTTCCTGCTTAGACATTTACTTAACTAAATAGATAGTCCTTCCCCACAGAAGTCTCTGTAATTAACTATACAGTCTTATTCCATTGCATGGATCAATTCAAACACTTAATTTTAAAAGCATTAGAAGTTCATGATAGCCTGTACACCACCAAGGAGGTAGGGTCAGCATGGAAAGTTAAGAAGTGTAATGCTCAAGTTTTCATTCTACTTTATCTTCTTCCTCTGCAGCATAGATAGCTTGATTCCGCCTCTTAATTTTCTTCACGCCACTGTTGCCATTCTCATTTTTGCCAATACGCTTTAAGGATCTCTCATTTAAACTCTTCTCTTCTGTCTGCTTACTCCCACCAGATTTCTCCAGTTCCTCACTGGTGGAATCCATTGCATCATCAGATGATACCATCATGGAATCTGGCATGATTCTGATGTCAGAAAAGCTTGCAGAAAAGTCAGGAGGGTGATCAGGTGAAGGATCCACAGAACATGTGCTCAGCTCTTCATCTCCACCCTCTTCATCCAGCATTATTTCATCTGGGTTAATGGACAAAGACAACCCAGAACTATCTGTATTATATTCACTGGGTTCTTCTGCTGACCCAGTACTGTCTATCTCTTCCTCCTCCTCCTCCTCCTCATATTCCCCACGAACAGAACCTTCTTCTTTCGCTTGCTGGATCTTGTTGTTAATGTCAATGAGGCCAAACTGGGCACAAAATTCAGTGGTCTGAGGACTGATAACATGAACTGGTTCTAGGTGTCTCTGAGGTTTATTGGGATCATAACAAGCAGCTGTCAGAGAGAAGTTAACAGGAATTTTGAGATTATGGTTCACCTCTTCCAATACCTCTTTGATAGCTTCTTCTGTTGCACTGTAATCCCACCTAAAAGAATTAAAAGTTTTTATGAGAAAAATAAGTAAAAATTTATCTTGTGCTCCCCCCACCTATAGTTCTCTTTAAAGACATTAACACTAAACCACTTTACCCATCAGCAACATTTAATTTTTCAAGTGCTTTCCCCAAGAAGTATATACTACCTCACTTGGTATGAGGACTCCAATAAACTATGATATGAACCCTAACTGAACAGAATGTAATATATATTTAGCATCCTAACCTGGAAATTTACTTTGGTTTCCAAGCTGTTTTACTATAATTAAGTAGCAAGATAAACATGGAAGAAACCAGTATTCTGTGCAGTCAGCTTTTCATGCACCTCACCACACAAGCTGGGTTGGGACCAACTGTGAAACAGCACTAAACGGTACTTTATAAGCACAGCCTGACCTTGGGAATAATCACATACTCCTCTTTTACATCGGGGGGGGTGGAATTCAGGGAGTTTAAAGCAAGAAGGGACCATAAGATTCTCTCACCTGAGCTTTATATCCCCCTCAATTTCACCCAGTTTCCCTTGTATTGGCTTCTGTAACTTGTGTTGAGAGAAAGCCTATCTTCTACACAAGTCATCCAAGGGTTTGAAAAAGGATGGAGCTGGACTGTTCTCAGTGGGGGCAGATGACAGAACAAGGAGCTTGACTGAAGAAAATAAGACAGAAACCACTACTTCCTTTGACTGTTTGCTCCATTAAGTTTGGGCAGAATTGGAGTTCATCTGGCTTCAATTACCAGCCATTAGTTCTTCAGTACTCTCTTCCCCATGTGAAGACACTTCTATGTCGCTCAAGTGACCTTTCCATCATTGAGAAGATAAAACTGATCAATCTCTACAGCTACGCCTACAAGGTGTCCAAGACACCCCCAGGGAGGGGCACCCTTGAGCACCCTGCCCACTTGCACTAAACCCAGAAGTGTGGCAGTGAAGCCACTTAAGGTCACCTTTTCCCCTCCACCCCCATTTAAAGATCTGTTTTTAGTGTGCTTGACAGTAGCCCCAGGAAGGGCTGGAGTGCCTTCATCACTACATTCTTGGATTTTACCCAAGCCAGCAGGAGCAGTCAGGTGACCAGCTCACAAGAATTTGTCCCTTCCTGCACTGGGGACATGGTGTAGACACCCTATTTCTCAGAGAAGTCTTCATCTCTAACCCTCAGATAGTTTCTGTGATTTAAATGCACCTTCTCCATTTTTCCCCTACATCCTTTATCAAAGTGTGGAAGCCAAAAGCATCTACAGTTATTCTCGTTAGAGGCACAACTGGTTTATACTGACAGATAGTCTGGACTTTTCAAGATATTGTGGCTGGCTATAACACAAGTTACAACAGAAAGATAAACTGATGCTCAATTAGACCAGACGTTTTTAAAGAGGTTTCCCATTTATCAGTTGCACAATGTTTACACTTTACATCAAAAGCTATAAAAAGAGTTGTGACCTTAATGACTATGGGTGATGTTTCAGATTATATTTCTCCAGAATACATAGCAGCTATTACATTTGTTTTTAAGAGAAGTAAAAAAAAAAAAAAAACCGAAGAGCACGCAGCTGGCCAAATTTTAATGTCAGTTCTTTTATTGAACAATCTTTAGGTTGGGAGTGGAGTTTTGCATGCCAACTTCAATATATTTGTCTAAAATGCAACAGGCAAATGTTGCATTTTTAATCTACATTGCATGTGATACCATGTGTCATAATGTAAACTCCACTCAGTTTTACATAACATGTACAAAATGAGTACAGCACGGATAGATGAACATACACGTATGTGCCAATGAAACATGAACACATTACTGGAGTATTTTCTCAAATCTCAGCACTCTGACAGAGCAAGCTGTCAGACCAGAGACAGAAGTGAGGATCTGTGGCTGAAGGATTACAAGTCTGGCTCATTTTAGGTTTCTATCACCCCATCAAGGCAACTACTGCTGCTCCTTCCCTGTGAATAGTCTCTTCTGATGACTCTTAAAATCTAGAGTACCCATATAATCCCCAGGAAGACATTCAAATGGCAACATCCAGCCCTGGGTTTCAGCAAACAAGTCTTTAACACTGCGGTTAGTGATAAGTTTCCTATCAGGGATGCAGCTTTCATTGTCAGCTTGATACAGGAAAGCACAAGGCAGCACTTAAGCAACCCTGTCAAAGGACCCCAGCAAACTTCTTGCAGGTTCATGGTACAGGACAGTTTCAGCAAAAGCATCCTTAAAATATAAAGCATTCTCCACTGCCTCTCCTTATTTGGGCTGTAAAGTAATAACACAGCCCCTTGTTACTGAAGTATCCAAACACTTCACAAGTGTAAGGTGCATTTATCCCAACATGTGTGAGGGTAAGGAGTGCTGATATCCCATTTTATAGGTAGGAAAGAGACATCCAGAGACTAAGCAACTTTGTCAAGGTCACCCACAAAACCTACAGCAGTCCAGGAAACCGAACCAACCTCTCACAGATCCTAAGCTAGAGCTTAACTATCATCCTTCCTCAGCCTCTTCTGCTGCTCCAGAGAGAAGCTGGAGTCTGATCTCTCTTGCTTAGAGAGCAGCTGCCAGCAAAGGTGCAGTTGATCTCACAACATCCAAGCAGGTTTGTTCCACAGGAGCTAGTACAGCACTCTACACTACCAGACTGCCTTCAGGAGTGTCCAGAGAAGCAGATCCCAGGGGACATTCATGTCCCAGTACTCCATGTTCTTTTCTCTGATGGGGACTTTTCTCCCTGCTCCCACCCTCACTATGAAGCCTCTGGCAGTTAGGAGAGTTAGAATACCTTGGATCCCAGGTAAGCTTTAGCTACAGGTCATTCTGAAGTGCTCAGAGAGGCTTCAGAGACTTCTCTCGACTTCAAGACAAAGGCAGGGCTGAACCTCCCCTTGTCCTCTGCCTTGGATCCTCTTACTCTGTGCACTCAAGCTTCATCTCTAATGGGGGTTCCCAAATTCCTTCTTCCCCCTAGTGCTGAAACCGCACTGGTGAAGAGAATGAGGTTCCCTGACTGCAAACCTTTTCCTGCTTATCCCCACACAGCAGAAGCTGGCAATGCCAGCCTGAGCTGCAGCCAGAACCAAGCCTCGGGCCTAACTTCCCTGCTTTACAAGAGGGCAAGAGCCCTCTGACTACACTGCACATCCAGCTATACCATGCACCAGAAGGCTTTCTTTAAGTCTCCAGGTCACCTTCCTGTTTCTTTCTTCTAGCAGCAACAGGATTCTTTAAAACAATCATATCTAGACTACCAGATCCCTTGTACATAAGAATCCAATATTAACCAAAGGATGTGTGGTCTGTGACCATGTGCTGTTTAGGAAACTGGTAAGGCTATTTCTTCAAAGGGAAAAAAATCTTCAAACTAAAAAGAAAACCCTGATACTGTAATTTTAGTAATAGCATTTACAAATGTTACATTAATTACATTTTTTTGTTAAAAAGATGCAGCTATACCAATGTATACAGATGCTATGTCTGTCTCTTCAGTTCAGTGTTATGGAAGACTTTTTTCATGCCAATACTGAAATAAATGTGAGGATTCATCAATTCATGTTCCTTCAAGGAAGCATGCACTTCAAAGCCTGAAAAAACAGTATGTGCTTACATGGAGCAGCACAGGCTCTAGGACACCTTAGTTCTCTGCTTCTAGGGTTAAATGCAAATTTGCACATCCAACAACTACTTCAGAAGTTCTGCTTATACCAGTGACTGCACCGACCATTAGACTGGAACTGTGGCCTGGTTGTCTATCTAAAATTACTTCTTTACAGCACATGCTTTCAACCCATAACTTACCTTAGCAATTCTTTATTTTACTTACTTTGCATGGAGGCCATTGTTTTCCGGCATATTCCATGAGTTCTGAGTTACATTAATGAGATCGTTGGTTGCCTTGAGAACAGCAAGCCACTCAGGATCATATTCCAGAGAGTCTGATGCATTGGGGTCGTGGTCTATGTCTATTATCTTGGGAAAAATAATATTGGACGAAAGAAATGCCTTATTTACTGACACTATCTTAACAATAAATAGCACACTCTCCAGGAGTCTTAGCAGTTATTCAATGTTACAAAAACCAAGTTAAAACAGCCTCAACCCAAACTTACTAGCTATGCTTTGGCTGAGAAATAATGGACCCTCTCTCTCTTTTGCAGTGTGCACAGGTGTTCTTAATTCAGGTTAAAGAGGAGTGAAGAAAAAAGTAACTTCAATTTTTAATTCTAATTAGCAAATGGACTCCCCTACAGACTTCAATGAGGGCTGGCAACAATTTAAAACCCTTGTCTTCACCACTACTTCAACACAAATAAGCCAATCCGTGTTTGGGATCTGCCTTTTTGCAGTACAGATACACCTTCAGTCCTCCTCCTTGAGTCACTGAAACAAACAGGCCCTGCATAACACCTCAAAAGCAGGCAGTCCAAGGGGCTCCTCCCTGCAAGCTGCTAAACCCAGACTATTTAGAACCGGAGCAGAAGGGCATTCAAGGGTCTAAAGAATGCTCACGAATGTCCTGTCAACTATCCTCTCATAATATTGAAAGAGTTCTAGGCATTAGCACATCTATTGAATGCAGATGCATACAACAATTCCAGCTGATTTCAGGCCATTCACAGCTTAAATCCTGGAGCACAGACATTATGCTCTTGCCAAGATACCCCACTTGCCAAAGAAAGTGACAGCTTTCTCCACCAGTTCCAGCTTCTGAACTAATCATGACATAACCCCACATAGCATATGTTGCAACAATTTAACCTCAAAAGAAAAGGATGGGATGATAGGATCAAGTTGCCCATCTGAAAAAACCATCCCAAGGGGCTAGGCACACATGGGGAAGCAGCCTCAGCTCCAGGAAAAAATCACAGTCTTTCCCAGCCTACCTTGGGGTCCTCCCCAGGACACTGAGGAAGCACATTTTCTTCAGACCATTTTTTCTCCCCTAATACTTCAGGTATTTTACATGACATCTGTCACACAGCTCTTTTCCCCAAAGACAGAATTCCAACAACTACACCAGGTCACTGGGACACTGCTCATAGTAAGAAGACAGTGTCATTCTGGCCTATAACATTGATTAGCTACTACCATACACCAGGGGTGTTAGACCCCTGGCCCACAGGCTGGATCCAGCACCCAGTGTTGTCGTCTAGTCCACAGGGCTTCCTATGGGTCCAAAAATTTGGTAGCAGAGGAGCAGCAGCATAACTCCCCTACTGCCAAATTCCTGGAACTGCAGAAAGCCCTGAGCCCTGCATGCCAGAGTGCGTGTGCATGGTTTTAACCAGTGGCGCAGGGGTCTGATGCCACAGGGCTGGACAGGGGTGATGTCAGGCCACCAAGGCACAGTCTCAGCACACAGGGCTCTAGGGCACAATCCCAGCATGTGTGGCTTGATTTAGCCTATGGACTAGCCCCGCACCATTTACCTGGCCTGCTGCCCTATACCCTGCATTAGTTGGTACACTGGATACAAGTAACATGGCTCAAGAGTCTATATAGGGACAGAAGAGACTAATACTTTTACTTACACTCGAAATAGAAGATATGGTTTTCCCTACCTTGACAAGCTCTCTCCTGTCATAAGCAGCAATTTAGATTTACTTGGACAGAAGAATTCATCTTCAGCTTGCTGCTAAGTAGTGCACTCCTTAACTGAGATGCATGAAGTACTTAAAACGTGAATAGATGACCATTTCATGAAGGTTTTACCTGCAGAAAATCTCTGTGCGGCAGACATTTATCCAGGGCCAAGAATTTCGTTGCTTTTGGCAGCTGTTCTTTAGTGTCCATCTAGGAAACAGGAATAAAACTATTACCGACAGTGTGTAAAGCAACCTGATAAGGGGGCCATTCTGAATCAAAATGATATAGGGGAGACTCAAAAATAAGATTTAAAATTTAAGCCATTTCTCTGCACTTCAGAGACATCCAATAACATAGATTATAATGGGTCATGAAGTCATTGTCTATCTGATACTCGCTATTCTCAGCAGTTCATAAGTGATAATGACCCTCTTGCACAATCTTGCTTTTCCAGTTAACAAATAGAGAAATGCAATAGAAGCCTGATGCCTACCTGATAATTTCTCTTGTATCCTGTTTTTATTTACACATGGAGTTTTACACAAGCCCTTGTTCCATCTGTTACTTAGCTCTGCTGTGTCTGCTTTTCACCCAGAGCCCTGAGGAAGGATGCAGTGGTACCCAAAGCTTAGCTAGTCAGACCTGGCACTGACAATGGAGACTTGAGCTGTACATGGGATACCTGCTTTTATTTAGGGTTTGTATTTTTTACCTGGTGCTGCATTAAGGCTGCAAATTTAACATGCAGATGTGCTGAGAACCAGTAGGTGGGTTTCAGATGCTGCAGGAGCTCAGAAGCAGCAGGGCTCCCCAATGTGTTGCTTTCCACTTCTTGGCGGAAGAAGGATTTCTTTTTGAGAAGCTGTTTCTTGTTTCCAAAGTGATATATACTTCTTGGCCAATCATGAGACATAAATATATCCATTGGCTGCTTTAGCTAGCAATCCAAAAAAATACATACAAATAGTGAATAAAAACATTATCTAGAAATTATAAGCATTACAAACTCACACAGCAAAAGAGAGCACTTGAAATATTAATGAACGGATGCATCCTACTCCTTTGCCTGACCACAGATCCTATGACATGAAAACCTTATTTTCTAAACCGGGGTTTTCAACCTTTTAATAAGTGCACCCCTGGAGGCCAGATGTGGGGCGGTGCACAGTGGTACACAGAGCAATGGCAGTGCAGAGTGGTGGCTGCACTACGCAAGCTCCTCCCGCCCCATCTCCCCTGGTCCTGGGAGGCGGCAGCATGGGGTGATGGCGTTCCATTCCCGCCTGCCCATGCATACCCCCTAGGGCAGGGGTTTTGAATGTTTGTGCGCCCAAGTGCACATTTGAATTTAAAAGCAGCAGCAGTGGGTGCCAATATGAATATTACAACTGAGAATTTAGATCAATCATCTCATCCATTACTTAAAATTGCGTTAGATCCGCAACTTCAAAATGCAGCTTCCCTTTACCTGGTATTCTTCTGAAGTTTTATCTTCTGCAGGCACCATGTTGGGAACTGCTGCCCTAGGGCCTTCCCAAGTACCCCCAGGGTTACGTGTACCCCCAGTTGGCAACCCCTGTTCTAAACTACTGGATACAATCTTCCAGATTTAATTTGCAATTGATAAAGTATTCTTTATGCCTCAATTCTGGGACATGGAAGTTTGGCCCCCTGAAGCCCCAAGAATGCCTGCCTGAGCTCCCACGTTTGGGATTCCCTGGGCACCCATCTTCATTACTCTGGAAGTCCAAGCACCTGGGATTGCAGCAATCAGATGACTGACAGCCTCAAACCCAGGAGTCCATCAGAGCATTGAGCTTGCTCCAGCGTGGTCCCAGGGCTGACAATCTCAGCCCAAGACCAAGCCAAAGCAAGTTCAACACTCCAGTGCAGTGCCAGGACTGCCAATCCCAGCCCCAGAACTGCACCAGAACCAACTTTCCCTGTTTACCCTGGAGAATCCCTGGGGTGAAAAGGGAGGGGAGGACAGGACACAGGAGGATCCCACCTGCAATATCAATGGGTAGGACAACAAGTGATGTATATTTTGTCCAGTTAAATAGATCAGCTGTGTCAGGGGACATCCCAGGACACGGCTGATCCACCAGTTCGCAGACAGCCTACTTAACAAGGAACATCATACACCACTCTCTTCCAGGGAATCTCTGGAGAAGGTAGCCAAGTGAGCAGAATTAGTGATCCATGGCAAGTCCCACTACACCTCTGTTTCCTCCCAGGAAGCCAGCTAGCTGCTTCCTATTTTATATGGTTTGGGAAGAGAGGAAAATCTGGGCTGAGAAGTTTGCTTCTGCCAGGAACAGCAGAAGAGTTTGCAGGGGACAGACACTAAAAGCCCCTGTGCTAGAACCAACAGTTTCTCCTGAACCCCAGCATCTTAGACTGAGGCTCCTACCTGATGGGAACCCAGGTAGCTCAGGAGAGCAGATACAGCACTGGGCAAGTTTCCCTACCCCAGCAATACAGGCACCATGGGGTTGGAGTCAGAGAAAGCAGGGATCCCTCTTTAACCATACAGGGCCTCCTTCATCCACTCTCAAAGACTTCTTTGCTCTTTCTATGTCCCTTACAACAGAAGTGTCAAACAAGCCCTTCCAGCCCTTCTGATCCCAAATCATTTGACACATTAGTGGAAAAAGAAACCCACAAGCATACACACACTTTTTTAAACACAATTTGCTTTTTCGGTTTTTTTGTTTTAATAGGACTTATGGTTGAGTGCAACATTCCACTGCTCCCCCACCAAAGCAGAGCAGCAAACTGTACAACCCTAGCTAGACCTCAAATCCCCACACAGCACATCTCTACAGTGACAGATTATACAGCACTAGAAAAAAACTGTATGCTTCCAACCAAATAAGGAAGCCACAGGGAATGCAAACATCTCTGTCACAATATAACAAAAAAGCCTTACCTAACAAGCTCTGGCTGCCCCTCCCATATGTGACTTTACCTACGTGCCTATGTACCCCTGAATAATTCGTAGTTCTGTAATTAAGAGAGTTTATGTGAGGGAGACCTGTCTGATAAATTTCCTTATTTACTGAAGATTGTATCTGTTGCAAGACAAAGTCGGACACTCCCAATTAGCCTTCTGCTGAAGATAGCCGCGACAAGCTTTTGAGTAGTTTAAGGCACGTAATTCTGACATGGACTCGCCATCCTTGCAAGCTTAAGAGCAGGCTAGACAACAGTCATTTGGAAAGATTAAGACAAGGGTGATCCTGCCTTGAGCAAAGGATTGGACGAGATCAGTCAACAGCATTCTGTGGCAGCAGGCTAGGTCAGCTCCTAGGCAGGCCACCACCAGGACCCAGCTGCTGTCACTGTCACCACTTCTCCTTCGTGCTCAGCTGCAGTACAGTACAGAAAAGTGCTGTGTCTGGGCAGCAGCGAAAACTGCAATGCAGGTAAAGCCCCAGCCAAGGCCACAGGTTGCCAACCTATGGACTATCAGTTGTTCCCAATCTGTGGTACATGTACCACCAGTGGTATGCAGACAACCTGTCAGTAGTATGCGTTAACAGATTTATTATAATTACTTTACATGACAAAAATGTGCTGGTGGTACTTAAGGTTATACTGTTTTAAATTGGTGGTGTGAAGTCTACCAGAGTTTGGGAACCGCTGGACTAAGTGATCTTCTGAGGTCCCTTCCAGCCTTGCTTTTTGATTCTGTAGAAAACACCAACAGTGCACCTCTAAATTCCCATCACTTGCTCCAATATCATCATCCCCTCTTCAAAAAAAAAAAAAAAA